GCGAATGTCATCGTAGAAGACAAATGAGGCCAGAATAGGATATTCAGGCAGCGTTAAAGGCCTTAGAGTCCTTTAAAACGGCTCAAGGCTTGTAAACTCTTGAACCACCTGGGAGCCCACAATATCGTAGCGCTGTGGTGGGTTCTGGGACATGAAGGGTTTAAAGGCAACGAAAGGAAGGAAGGAAGGGAATAATCTCAAATTGCTGCCCACTGCCGGAAGTCAAAGGGAATAAGACAATCCAAGAGATTCATAACTCTTTCCAGGAGGAACTCCGAAAGACACCTTGAACTTGGAACTATTACTGGCAACCTGACAGCACACTGCAAATTAACGTACCGTTTGAATTAAATGGGTCTTTCTGTAGAGACGGACTGTATGTTTTGGGCACTGGTGAAGGAAACTCCAGAGTATATTCTATGTGCCTGTCTACGAAGCATAAATCGTAGATTGATATACCTTGGAGAACGATTGTATTCTCCATTTAAAATTTGGAACATGGCATCATCCAAAGTGCTGAGCTTTTTAAAAAGCCTAAAGTTGGAGTGATTACAATCAGGATTTAGCACAATATATCTTCTTAGGTCGCAGCGCGGGTATCTCCGACGTAATAATAGTAATATCGTCACTAGATGCGAATTAAGATGCTCGGGTGTTTTAACGACGAAAAAGAACTCGGGAAACAATTTGCGAAAAAAGACGCATAAAAATGGATCAACATCATTTCGGAAAAACTCTTTAGGGAATTCGTATACTGTTACACTCGCAAACATAGTTGACCACGAACATAAGTTTATGCGTCTTTCTTCGCCATCAAAGAGGTTAACGCGGCTTTCCTGCCATCACCTATGTTAAAAGTCTTTCTTCGCCGAAATTTTTTACGCGTCTTTTTTCGCTGTCATCTTTTGAGCTCGCATCTTAATTCGTATCTATTGACGATATGTATGTATGTGTAAAGAGACATACATTTGGATAAGTCTGTACAGTAAAAATGAATGGTTTTACACATAGGGCTGCCAGACGTCCCGGTTTTCCCGGACATGTCCCGGTTTTAGACAATTTGTCCCGGTGTCCCGGTCTAACCTTAAAATGTCCCGGGTTTTGTTTAAGTGTCCCGGTTTTCGATTTGATTGCACAAGTTTTGCATAAAAATGACTACACTGAGAGATAAAACGCGTTGTAATATTAAGAAAAATTGTATGAATTTACTGGGGGAAATAACGCATAGTAAACATGAATCTTTTTTATTTGACTATCATTTTAAAATTTTCGTTGAATCAAACTGAACANGTCTATTCATGATGAAATGTCAAAGCATACTGAGCATCTTTCTCTTTGACACCATGTCTGAAATCCCACGTGATCTGTCAAATACTAATGCATGAAAATCCTAACCTCAAAAAAATCACCCGTTATTTATATATGTAATACTTCTATATTGGCAGTAAGCTAACTTCTCAATGTGTAAGCATTCCGAAATCAAAGCGAGACAGTCTAGTACGGTTTTTGTCAATGTATTGTGTACTTGAGTGCCGTTTTTGTATATGTGTTGTGTACATGTTTATTTATAAACGTGTGTGTTCCTTTTCTTTCGTACGTGTTTATTGAAACATCTGTACTGTAGTGTTTTCGGACGGTACTAGCACTTACTGCCAATATAGGAGTATTACATATATGCTTGTATTTAATTTTTTTTATTTCGTGAGACCTAGATTACTTATAAGTACCGTGCCGTACAAAATTATTGGCTCGGAGACTCTTTCATCTGATCACAATTTCTAATCAGATCTTTTACAAAATTTTTAAAATGTAGCTTTTGAGCTAATTAGCAAAGTGCAAGTCTCAAGTTACCAGAAAATTTCGTTGATTTTTGCAATTATTTATTTTTTGCTGACAGTGTCTTCCACATACAAAAAAATTCGAACATAGTTTGTATGGAAGAAACTATCAGTAAAAACAATACCAAAAATCAACTAAATTTTTATGGGCTGCAAAACTTCATTTTCAAAATTTTTATAAAAAGGTCTGAATAGAAAGTTGCGAATTTGTATGCAAATTTATTGCATTTTCCCGAGTTTTGCACAAAGTTTAGAAATTTTATTTTTATGTTTTCTGATGTATTTAGTATAAACTCTATTTTTATAAGGAACAAAAAGGTACATGCATTGTTAAAAATTCTCTGTGCTTTAGTTGTGATAAATTGTTTTGTTTTGCTGGTGTCCGTTGTATTGATCTCATGAGCTCATGTTTTTATGTTTTTGTTTGACAAAATAAAATTTTACTACATCCTTTCGTACGTTGAAGTAAAATATTACATCTCAAAAAAAATTTTGGTAGGTTTTGGTTGGTTATGGTAGGAAACTTTGGTAGAAAACTTTGGTAGAAAAAAATGTGTCTGTGGCAACGCTGGTCGATACCCTGCAGTGAAAAACCAAACCATTTAGTATCAATACCAGTTCTTAACTAGTATGTGCTAAAGCGATGGCCTACCAGTTCGAAAATTTCGAAGAAGCGTGCAGCGACATCTGCCTTTGAATTGCCAAAACCAAACTTAAGACGGAATTAATTGCTTTTCTTACAAATGACGGCTTTGGCGTCGCGTGAAGACTGGCGGTTCTGGTGCTGAGGTCGCAGGTTCGTGTCCGCTTGGGGGTGGTTAAGATTTTTGAAATTGATTCAATGTAAGTCAATATAATTATTTCAATTTAAATGTAGGCAATAAACTTCAAAATCTAATTTCATTGCAGAAAAATACGCATTAGGGAAGAAATACTTTTGCCACAAAACAAGAAATTAATAAAGATATATTATTTTTAGTAAATTGTAAAACTACAATAAAAATCCTAAAAAAACAAAAAAAAAAATAAATATGAATAAATTTCCCTGCGCCAGGATTGAACCGCGGACATCAGTAATACCGCGCCAGTGCTCTGCTATGTCGGCCATTGCGACTGTTGGAGCGCCGCACAGTGGGGCAAAAAGGGTTGCTTTGGACAAATAAATTTTGAGAGCCTAAATATGAACCGATTTCAAGTTACTTTTTTTTTTAAATAAGAGATAATTAAATTTCGCGTCGACTTATCCGTGGCAACTTTTTAAAAAGCTCTAGCTTTTTATTTATTTATGTTGATGTTGAAAACTAGTAGAAAAAAAAATTTTACGTTTAAATGTTTCCAATTAACTAATACTAGTCACGAGATCGATCTTTTTGTTTTTTTTAATTGTAGTAAATTTAATGTAGATTAAGAAAAAGCATATTAGGATACCATCAACCCCTAAATTAGGGCTTGAAATAAGGAGTGAGTGGCTAAAATCCAGAAAATTCACTGAAAAACATTGTAAAGTGTTTTCGTAGCAGGCGAAAACGATTCCAAAAATTATTTCTGCAAGGGGAAATTTATTGAGATATCATTCATCCTTAATTTAAAGGTCGAAATAAGGGGAAAGTTGCGAAAAACCAGAAACTTCAAGAAATTGATGTCCTTTCGATTTTCTTTTTGCTGTAACTCAAACGCAAATCATGTTACCGACACATTTTTTTTTCCAATTAACTAATACTAGTCACGAGATCGATCTTTTTGTTTTTTTTAATTGTAGTAAATTTAATATAGATTAAGGAAAAGCTTATCAGGATACCATCAACCCCTAAATTCGGGGTTAAAATAAAAGGTGAGTGGCTAAAGCCCAGAAATTTCATTGAAAAACATTGTAAAGTGTTTTCGTAGGAGGCGAAAACAATTTAAAAAAGGAACAATCCAGCGCCTTCGTCTTTGTATCGGTATCATGATTTGCGTTTGAGATATGTACAGCAAAAAGAAAAGCGAAAAGACATCGAGTTCTTGAATTTTCTGGTTTTTCGCAACTGATATCCCAATAAATTACACCTATCAGAAATAATTTTTGGAATCGTTTTCGCCTCCTACGAAAACACTTTACAATGTTTTTCAGTGAATTTTCTCGGTTTTAGCCACAATATCCTAATAAGCTTTTTCTTAATCTACATTAAATTTACTACAATTAAAAAAAAATTATCAATATGGTGATTTGCCTCTGAGATACAGCAAAAGGAAAATCGAAAGGTCATAAATTTTTTAAACATGGTCAACTTCGCCCCTCATCAGCCCTTAAAGTAAAACGTGATAACGTTCGCTTTAGTTTTCCTTTAATCGACATAACTTGAACTTTATTCATAAAAAAAATATTGCGCTATCTCTTTCCTTCTCGTTATATTAGATTTTAAACAAAAGTGATTTAGCTTATAGTGCGCGGCCATCTTGGATTTACAATGATAGCAGATATTCAAAAACTATGGGAAATGCAAAATATATGCAAATATGCTTGGCGTAAATCTTCTTCATTTTGAATTCAACGAATTTCTGTCTTGGTCCAGGATCTCTTGGATGCTAAACAAAAATATGCAATTTCATAGAATTCCGATGTCTATTTATTACATACTTGGGAAGTTCACTTCCAAAGATTTTTCGTCCCCCATATTGAAATTTTTGCAATAGTCCTTTCTTTCCATATTTAATAACCGGGGACGTTTTCTCAATTTTTAAGTTAAATTTTCTTTCTCCATTGTCACTAAAGCCCAATTTCAGATGGCCTACTTAAGTAGAGATTGTTGATTAACTTCCACTATTCATTTTCAGATCAGGATTGATTGGTTGATTTTTTGCTCAGTGTACATATGTATGATACTAACATATCTATCTCTCATTTACTAAAAGCCTGTTAACTCAAAAAAGGAAATTTGTGAGCAAATGATGCAGAATTACCAGGTATATCACACTGTGTAATTATGTCATGCTAAAATCTTGTGTAGTTTCCGCGTAAAAAGACAATATGCATCACTCTGCACTTTGGAACCAATTTGAACCTCTTAAACCCGTCTAATGAAAAATTTCGTGTTTTTTTTTTTGTTATGACAGCATTTTAGTAAATAAGCCATATCTAATTAAAAGCTTTTATGCAAATAATAAAACACAGTTTATTTTTAGTGATTTTGTGCCAGAGAACAATCTGCCTTTGGGGATCGATGTGTTCGGCGACCGGATGTTCATAACTACTCCACGATGGAAGGATGGCGTTCCCGCTAGTCTTAACTATCTCCCATTTCCCACAAAAGAACGGAGTCCTGCCTTACGCCCATATCCCGATTGGAATGCTCATAGCGCTGTTCAACAACCGAACTGCGCCAAACTCATATCCGTTTACCGCAGCTCGATCGATGTTTGCGGCCGTTTGTGGTTAATCGATTCGGGCATCGTAAACGCTACAGTAAACTTAAACCAGATTTGCCCACCAAAAATCGTCGCTTTCGAATTAGCTACCGATGAAATGGTGGTCAGCTTTACACTACCGCCGGAGCAAGTCAAACAGGACTCATTGCACTCGAATATTTTGGCCGATGTGCGCGCGAGTCAATGCGATGATGCCCACGTCTATGTTACGGATGTTTGGCGCTTCGGAATAGTCGTCTACAGTTTGGCCAAGAATCGCAGTTGGCGAGTTACGAACTACAATCTTAATCCGAATCCGGTTGCATCTGATTTTAATGTTTATGGACTGAACTTCCAGTGGTTAGACGGTGTATTTGGTATGAGTTTGTCCTTGGTGCAGCACAACAAGTCTACGCTGTATTTTCATCCAATGGCTAGTTTTAAGGTAAAAATGTAACGCATACTCGTAAAATTTTTATAAAATCCCTTTTTACCGAACTTGTCCGGCTTCTTTGTCTTTACTATAGGAGTTTGCTATTTCTACAGACCTTTTACGAGACGAGAGCCTGTGGCCAGCGCGTGCTCAGGAGGTAGCCAAACATTTCGTCGAAATCGGCGATCGCGGACCCTTAAGCCAGTCGTCTGCAGCCGGTATTGCTCGAAACGGAGTTATGTTCTACACACAGGTGCATCAGGATAATATCGGTTGTTGGGATACCGCGAAGCCATATGTGCGTGGCAATTTAGCAATGTTGCTAAGCAGCAGGCAAACATTGGTGCAGTTCCCCAACGATATGAAGATTGACCAGGAACCCCAGCAGGGTGTCTGGGTGATGAGCAATCGCCTCCCGATCTATCTCTACGGTCAGCTGGATTACAGCGATATTAATTTCCGTATTTTGCGCGCAGAAGTGGAAGAAGTCATTCGCAACTCCGTGTGTGACCCGAAAGTAAAGGAAGTGCACGCTGACATCCCCGTTGTGGTGGAGTTACACGAGGGACAATGTTACTGAGTTTTTAGTTCTATTTTTTGCCAAACTTATTTTATAAAAATTCGAATTGCAAATCACATTAAAAATGTTTAATAAAGTAATGAATATGAAGAAAATGCACTATCGTAAATGTGTTTTTATTAATGGCCACGAGAATCAACACCTAAATATGAGCACTTCCGTGGCAAGGTGTCCCGCGGCCGAAAACCAAATCGCTTCTGATTGATGACTTTGATCTGGTAATACTAAGGCTGATATCTTTACTGTTTCTCATAGTATTACACTGTTCCAGCCTCAAAACTGCGTACTATTATTTACTGTTTTTTATTTAATAGAATACTTTATGTTAATTCATATAAATACTGAAAAAACTAACTTTAATGCGTGAACGTTTGGAAGATACAAATTTATTAATCGCGATTCAACTCTGTACAAAAAATATAATGCAATGCAAGGCTGTTATCGAATATGAATCGCTGGGTGGACATAAATAAACCATGTATATCAATTAAGCTTGGACGCATAAAAAACTCGATCAGCAGGTCTTAACCTAGAATTGTTGCCACTTCTTGTAATCGCTATTCTAGGCACGAGTACATTTGTAGCTCATATTGAACAATTGAACTACATACATATCGTCGCTACCATATCAAACTATCGAATGTGCAAAAATGCTTTTTCAATTACCATACTTTGCGCATGCGTTTAGGCCAGAGCTGAGCAGCTTCGGCAGTTTAATGAAGCTTTCGCTGCCTTCTCAAGCAGAGCGTGTATGTATATGCGAATACGACGCGACGATGCTGCCCAGGTCGGGTTTAGACCAGTGTTGCCAGTTTGCGGGATTTCGCCCTTTTTTCGGGATTTTATGACTAAAAAGGGCGAATGGGATTTTCTGACGAAAAACGGGATTTTTGTCATTCCATACCAAGCAATAAAATTTACACTCAAAAAAAGTTGTCATCAGGACGATGCTATTTAGCCATCAACATCAACTTTCGGGCATCTCTTTTTCCTCATTAATCATCTTATCTAAATGATAGTTTCAATTGTTACATAGAAATATTTTTCGTTGTTATATTGAAACCGAAAATAACCAAAAATACTATACTGGTCTCAATTTGATATTGTTAAGGGCAAACTTGTCTTTTTCCTCATCAAATTAATAACCAAAATACCAATATAATATTTTTCAATACACTCTTTATATTATTAATGGTTATGTTGATGCCGAAAAATGAGACTCTTTAAAGTTTCTTATTAACACTACGTGTACTAAACCAATAGTGATACTTTTTTTTTAGTGTAATTATTGATAAATGAGAAAAAGCTGCCATACTCTGTGGCAGGGTTGTTGCGAATATTCGCATTCGCAACCGCGGAACTTCCGCACAAATGTTGACATTCGCATTCGCAATAATCAATGCGGAGCTTTTGCGAATGCGAATATTGTGCAAGTGCACTGATAAAACGTATATCTGGCAAACAAAAAATTGTATCCAACATCTGTTTGCCTGTGGAGATGCTACGTTAAGACTGCCCCCTACGTCGACCTTCGTTCATAATTTAAAGTCAAAGAGTAAGAAAATAGTACGTATTTCCAGCGGAAATGTTCAACGGTTGGCTATAAAGAGCGTCGACTATTTGCGCGTGAAAAGATTACCTTTAATTAGGTAAGAATTATGTAACTATCGAATATTATTTGTCAAAGGTCTGTTGAAAAAACTGGATGCATCGCTAGTTTTTTCTACTTTTTCTTAGAAAAGTGTAATTATTAATTTCTCATAAAACTTATTATTCTTAAGTTCCGTGTTTCCTTTTATTAGTCTTTTAGCTCGAAAACAAAAACATTTATTTTGGCTGCGTTTCTTTAGACATTCCGGATAATCCCATTTCACAGCCGGAATAAACAGAATTCGTTTGAAATATGCGTTAACATATCATCAGGAACGTTCTAAAGAATAAGTAAACAGAAAAGTTTATTCCAAACGTTCAGAATGAATAAAGAAATGTAGCCTTTAATTTCGTGTTAATTGTCAAAATTAGCACGCATAGAAATAAAGATGAAATTATATGTAAATAAGTCGACAGCAAGTTCACAAAATAAATAAATAAAATAAAAATGAAAACTTTTTAATATACAAGGCTTTTATTAATGGACTAAAAAGTAGAAAATAATATTTCTCAGTCCCACAGAATTTGTTTTGATAACTTTTGATTTTGAAATTTTAGCAAAAGTCGTTATAAACAATTAATGACATTGAAAACGAAAAACGTNGAGGCCTTGTCTCCAGTCTACTTTTGTGTGCGGCGGGCGGAAAGACCTAGTTTCCGCTCCGCCCTGTTTACAGGCCGTTGATCATGGTCGGAAAGGCCGAGCTTCCGATCCATGTTCCCGTAGTCGTTACTTTGTAAGTGAGGCAGGCGGAAAGTCCTAGTTTCCGCTCCACGCTATAGACGAACTGTTGGGCGAGGTCGGAAAGGCCGAGTTTCCGATCCCTACTCGTATTGTCCTACGCGGTCGCGGAAATATACGAAGCCGTTACAATTGTACTAAGCAGTCATAGATATTGTGTAATTTTTTCGTTCACGGTTGCAGATATTAGTTTATTTAGTTAACTTGTTGAGCAATGTTTTCTTTATTACAAAAAGCGATTCAGATATGTCGATGCAATCATAATGCTTGTTAAAATCTTGGCATAAGCACCGAAAAGCATCATGCATTTCAAAGTTTGATTTACAAATACTCAACACAATAGGTTTAAAATGTCTCGTGGGTCTTGTAGGAATACAAAAATTTATCTCACTCAGTAAAAAGGGACTACTGACCATCCCGTTCATTAATTTAATTAAAAAAAGAACACCAAACATATCTCTACGACTCTAAAGCGTCGGCAAATCTATAAGCTTCAGGCGATCCTTGTAGGGTGGGAGATTTTTAGACGAGTCCCAACATAAATTTTTGAGGGCAAATAACAGGAACTGTTTCTGCACTGATTCGAGCCTGTCACTATGAATTTGATAGCTAGGATTCCATACTATAGATGCATACTCCAAAATCGGTCTAACTAGAGAGGTAAAGAGAACTTTAGTGACATAAGGATCGTTGAACTCCTTGGCCCAGCGCTTAAGAAAAGCCAACAATCCTCTAGCCCTAATCACGCAGGAGTTTATGTGAGACTTGAATTCTAGTTTCGGATCCATAGTTACACCTAGGTCAATGAAATTGGTCACTTGCTCAACATTGTGGTCAGATATCATATACGAATTTGGATAGAACGATTTTCTAGAGAAGGTCATGAATTTACACTTTTTCAAATTTAGTGACATGGAATTTGCTTCACACCATTCGAAAATGCAGGTTAGGTCAGCTTGCAAATGCTCCCTATCTTCTGCAGTACTAATGTACTTAAAGAGCTTAACATCATCAGCGTACATTAAGCATTTCGAGTAATTCAACACTTTGGAAAGTCATTTATAAATAAAATAAACAAGACGGGATCAAGATGGCTGCCCTGAGGTACGCCGGACGTGACATGTATGGGCCGGGAGGTACAATTTTTAAAAATTATTCTTTGTTTCCTATCCACTAAGTAAGAAGAAAGCCAGCTGAGAAGAATAGAAGGGAAACCAATTCGATCAAGTTTATATATAAGGCTTGAATGAGATACCTTGTCAAATGCCTTGCTGAAATCAGTGTAAATCACGTCCGTTCGAAGATTGTTTTTAAACCCATTAGACACATAAGTAGTGAATTCAAGAAGATTGGATACAGTTGATTTACCTTTGCAAAAACCGTGTTGCGATAGATCAATAGCAGAAGTAATAGAGTGAGATAGTTCTTCCGTAACGATTGCCTCAAAAACTTTAGGAATAGCACTATAGTTTACGATGTTAGTCCTTCCAGGAAGATGGGCTGAGAGGCTTATACAAATACTCTGCACAGCTTTTAAGAACACTTGTGGGTATACCGTCTGGGCCAGCTGTATATGAAATTTTCAAACAATTCAAATGAATGAGGACGTCCGCAGCAGAGATCGATGGAATTCGGATATAATCAAATGATGGCAGAAAGAATGGGTAGCTAGATAGATTCGAATTTAGTTGGGAAGATGTAGAACAGGTAGAGTAGTTTGACTCGAAGAAACCAGCAAACATATCGGCAATAATATTTTCGTCACTGGAAACTAAGTCATTTAACTTCAATGTTGAGGGATAACCGTTAGTCTTACGCTTAGTGTTCACAAATGCGTAAAACGATTTGGGATTAGAAACTATATTGAGTCGAACCCTGTTAATATAATTATTGTAACACTTTTTGTTCAATACATTGTATTTATGCCTAAGAATGGAGTACGCGGAGTAGTGAGAAGACAAGCCAGATTTTTTAAAAAGCTTAAATACTTTGAATTTTTGATTTTTAAGCGTTTTAATTCGCNAGTAGTGAGAAGACAAGCCAGATTTTTTAAAAAGCTTAAATGCTTTGGATTTTTGATTTTTTAAGCGTTTCAATTCGCCAGTAAACCACTGAGCGTTAGACGTTACGTTAGCTTCCTTAACAAGAGGAATGATTTTACTGAAAATGTGGCGTAAGGAATTGCTAAAATGTAAGGCACTATCTTCAGCATTCCCATCATACTGGGGCCAAGTTATCTTCGATATCTCTAACCTGCTGTTTTAAATGAGTAACGCCCCGCTCAAGTAACGCTCCGCTCTTGATTTTTTACTGATAAAGCAACATGAGTTGCGTGAATTTATCAAGGACAATTCTAGTGGTGGGTGGTGAGAATCAACAGGGGTAATCAAAGCATAGCTAGGGGCTATTGTGACGTTGGAAACATCGTCCACAAAAACTAAATCCAGACATTTACCTAAGTTATTACTAACAGAGTTGATCTGGTAAAGACTAAGATCTGACAGATCGTTCAAAAATTGATTGAAGAGATCACGAGAGGAATTTGGTACTAGAATACCATCTATTAGATCCCAAGAAACACCCGCAAGATTGAAGTCACCCAGGACAATAACAGTATCGGAGGGCTTCACCATGGCATGTAGAGAGAGCAGTAAGGAGGAGTGTTTTAAATAAACAGAAAGGCTCGAGTTAGGTGGTATATAAGCAGCAACAAGATAAGCGCTAATAGAACGATATCTTATTCGAACGCAGAGGAATTCACCTGCATCAGTGTCAGTGAACTCAATTTCTTCAGAAGAAAGGTCAGTCTGGACAGCTATTAAGACGCCTCCACCTTTTTTTATTTAAGCGGTCGTTTCGAAACACTTCATAATAGGACACAAAATTTCCGAGTTGAACACATTCGGCTTGAGCCAGGTTTCAGTAAACACCAGTACTTTGAAGTCAAAATCATAGGACTGCAAGTGTAACCTTGATAGCTTTGTGTTCAAACCTCTCACATTTTGGTAGTAAATGCTAATGGTGAGGTTACTTATTAGTTTTTTGATGCCGAGGTGGAAAGCGGAAGTTGAGCCAAATTTTGCCCTTGCGGTCTAGATCTAAATTCAAATTCGCGAATGAAGGCACCGCTTGGCCAAAAAGATGGGCTCATTACTCTATCAAAGCAGTCTTCGGATATGTCTATTTTAAAAGAAGAAATGCTTCTTTCATACGAGAATCTGAACTTGCGTACATGCAACTCATTTGCTATCAGCCTGGAAGTTAAATACCCCTTCACATCATCGACAGTGGTATCTTTTGAAAACCTAGATACAAAAACCGATTTTTTGGAAGGGACAACGATTAAATCCCTCGGAACGGGGTTAACGTAATCGGAAATGGTTTCAGATGTGGTAGAGGGTTGCGGAACAGTTGTANGCGTACATGCAACTCATTTGCTATCAGCCTGGAAGTTAAATACCCCTTCACATCATCGACAGTGGTATCTTTTGAAAACCTAGATATAAAGACCGATTTTTTGGAAGGGACAACGATTAAATCCCTCGGGACGGGGTTAACGCAATCGGAAACGGTTTCAGATGTGGTAGGGGGTTGCGGAACAGGGGGTTGCGGAACAGCTGTCAACTTTTTGGAAGGAGCAACGATGGCTCCGGATGTGGTAGGGGGTTGAGATGTAGTTGTGGAGTTTTTGGAAGGAGCAACGACTACTTCCTTCGGAACGGTTATGACGCAATCGGAGATGGCTTTAGATGTGGTGGAGGGTTGAGATGAAGCTGTTGAACAGGAATTTAGTGAGGCTCCAGTAGAAGAAGGACGTGGTTGGGGAGATTCAGTCCGCCGAGGAATCGGTGTGTTAAAGCTTATGAGTTCTTTGTTCATAGCTGGAGTCAAAAGTGGGCGGTTCTGCGGAAGATCCAGGTCCACAGTGATGGGATTCAACACAATATTTTCCACGCCTCTCCTACGTCTCTTAAGACCTTTTCCAGGAGAAGGAGAGGAGGAGGAAGTATCTAATAATTTAAATTCTTTGAATTCATCCTCATACTTCTTGAACTTCTCGTTGAGCAGTTTTAGCTCTTTGCTTATCTCCGAAAATCCATTTCTAGCGGTTCTAAATAGTTTACAGAGATCCACAACAGTTTTTTTACACTTTGGACATGACCAGCGAAGTCCATTGTCTCCAATAATCATATCCAGAACTCTCCCATTAATACCAGCACACTTTAAATGAGACAGTTCATCGCAAAGCCAGCACGCCACAAAACGGTCCGAACCGGCTTTTACATTACATTTTTCGAACAGACAGGACATTTTTAGCGAATTTTATTAAAAAAGAATAAAAATAGCGAAATTAGGAATGTATTGTACGAAAACGTTTCAAGCTCACAGTAATTGGCAGTTTAATAGCTAGTGGTCTTATTTAGTGAAGTTCAATGGTTAGAAACCGTGCTGAACTTAACAGTTTTAAAGCCATTGAGTTAGCAAAATCAGCTGTCACCAAGAAAGCGACTGTCGATGGTAAACAAAGGTGTGTGTAAAGCGCGAAAGAAAGCAAAATGAACAAACAAATGCGATATTCCTTACACTCTCACACAAAAGCAACAATAATGCACCAAAACAGGCAAATATGCACGAAGGCCGACAAAATAAAACTTTTAAATCAACGCACTTTATGACTAAATCAAGTCAACTTATTAGAATTTGGCTTCAGTTAACTTTTTTCGGTGTGAATAACACAAATTAGAACTGCTTAGCACTTTGTAAAAGAGTTAAACTTAGGAAATTCTTTCAAGCGAAAGTTTAAGTGACCGCACAGTACGAACGTTGCCAGATTATCATTGAAAATAGTCAAACTACATAACATTCTATAGCGAAAGTACAAAGTTGAGATCGATTTTTAGCGGTCGTTATTCATATGCCCACATACATACATATGTTACTTTTCATATCAATTCAAGTGTATTACATGCGCCCACGCTTTTAATTTTCAATGTCATTAATTGTTTATAATGATAATAATAGATTGGCGCTTACACATATGTTAGTGTTTGGCCGAGCTTCTCCTCCGATTTGTGGCGTGCGCCTTGATGTTGTCACACAAAGCGGAGGGACCTACAGTTTTACGCCGACTCCGAACGGCGATTGTGTTTTTATGAGAAGCTGTTTTTCATGGCAGAAATACACTTGGAGATTTGCCATTGCCTGCCGAGGGACGACCGCTGTTAAGAACAAACGTTTTTTCTAAATTTTTTGCGATGTTGCTTTGACCAGGGCTTGAACCCAGGTGCTGCGGAGTGGAAGCGCGCACGTTTACCACTACACCACAGCGGCCGACTAAAATTTCAAAATCAAAAGTTATAAAAATAGATTCCGTGGGACTGAGAAATATTATTTTCTACTTTTTAGTCCATTTATAAAAGCGTGTATATTAGAAAGTTTTTTTTATTTTCTACTTTTTAGTCTTGTCTGTACAAAATTTTGCGATAGATATCAAAATAATTCAACTTGCAGTGAAAGAGAACAGAAGACTATGCAAGCACAATGTTTGCTCACATTTAGTATAATAATAATGTATATATAGTATACATACATATAGCTGCAGTTTATTTCATTTAAAGAAATGGCGTTTCGTCCATTTCCGCTGTGACGTATGTATATAAGTAGTGCACATATTTAAGCTCAATATTAAACCCTTTCTGGCGGTGCGACATCTAGAGTCTTCTAATTGTATCTCCTTGATACGATGCCTACAACGAGGTTGATATCTAGACTAGGTTGATATCTAGAATTTTCCATAAATAGCTTTGCTACATTTATAGTAGGTGCATTCTTTTGCAAACGAGCTACAAAAGACACTCGCTCAAATGACGAAATACACGCAAAGCAAAAACACAAACCGGACTTTTTATCCGAGCTCAGCCAGGTCGGTTAAAAAATACGCGACCTGAAGGCTAGTGTTGGTAAATGAAAAAACTGCTCTATTGTGAATTGTTAATGGGAAAGTGGAGAGGGAAATTTTTGCTTCCTTTTATACATGACTTATGTTTTAAAAGAGTATATATATTACGCAAATACCTCGCATAATTACTCATTTAAATTGGTTTTTGTATCTGAATCCCGTTAAACTAATCAAATTTTCTTGCCAGCTACCAACAGGGTTGCTTAAGTAGCTAAAAGGAAATTTTACCCGAGTTGAGCGACCTTTTGTCGCTCGCTTACAAAAAAATGCAGCTAGTATAAATGGTGGTCTGGACATACAACATTCAAAGCGGTCTGGACATACAACATTGCAAGTGGATAAAAGCGTTGTAAAATAATAGGGCTATTCGCGATCCGGTGCAAATGGCCTAGCATCATTGCATTGCAAATTTGTATTGCAAATTATTTGCAATACACAAACAAAATACACGCATTTGCATTTGTCATGGCTTGGCAAATTTGCAATACCGAAAATCCATAGCATAAAAATGCTATGCATTGCATTCATAAACAAAACCAAAGCTGATGCACAAAAATTGTTTTGCAAAAGCTTTACCATGACAGTTTAATAAAGGTCGCTCACAATCCATGGCATATTTCTGCAATTGCATAAATTTGTCAGCTCTTATGCACCGAATCGCGAATAGCCCTAATATATCTCAGTCCCATAGCATTTGTTTTGATAACTTTTGATTTTGAAGTTTCAGCAAAAGTCATTGGTGAATTGTAGAGCCTTTTCTACAATTGTAAATCGCTTAACCAAAAAAATCAAAACGCGCGATAAAGGTTTAAATATTTTTTAAATTTATTTATTAAATTTAAATTTTATTTTAAAATTTAAAATATTTCCGTGGAAATGTCCTGCTATTTGACTTTGAATAAATTGAAGGTGAAATGTCGAATGATTCTGTGAAATAGCTAAATTGTACAATGATAAGTGCAAAGAGTATGATGGAGAAGTTGTACTTGTACATACATACATAGGTATGTAAGTATGTGAGTATGTATGTACATATGTACAAACATATGCACATGCATATGCATGGTAAATATGCTGCAGCGACAAACAAAAACGATGACGAATGTGCGAAGACAGTGGGGATAGAAAAAACTGGAGCTCCAACGAAGACAATAGCTACATATGTAAGTCAGCGATGCTAGCGACGACAACAACAACTGCAAAGATTTGATGTGTAATGAGTGCGTGCGATGAGGGGGTGTGAATGCAAATTCGATGATAGCGACGTTAACTGGAAATGCAGGTGCGGCGACGATGAATTTGTAAGGAGGGGCGTGAACATACTCCCCCCTTGAAAGCATGGCTTTCAATGTGACTCAGCTAAACTCGGGTTGTCAATTGGTAGTTTACATACCTTTGCTATTGCCCGTTTATAGACGCCATCTGCTGTTTTAACTTCTACCACCCTAACGCTGCCATCGTCACCTGGCACAGTAGCTATAATGCGACCCATGGCCCATTTAAGTGGTGGTAAAAAGTCCTACTTTAGTAGCACTAGGTCATTTACTTCAATATTGGGTGAAGCAGTGTTCCACTTCGAACGTTTTTGTAGCTCCTTTAGATAATCTTGCTGCCAACGATGCCAGAACTGCTGTTGAATATATTGGACGTGTTGATAGCGGCCTAACATAGTTGAGCTGGCAGTTGTTGATGGTTCAGGAATGGTGAGAAGAGATCGGCCGATGAGGAAGTGACCCGGCGTAAGTGGGCGAAGATCATTAGGGTCACTGGATATTGGAGTTAGCGGTCGACTGTTTATTATTGCCTCTGCTTGGCAGATGACGGTGTGGAGTTCGTCGTGTGATAGCACGTTGATGCCGATAGCGCGACGCAAATGGTATTTGGCAAGTTTCACCGCGCTCTCCCACAGGCCACCAAAGTGTGGTGACCTTGGTGGAATAAATTTCCATTCGATCCCTTCGTTTCTGCAGAAATCCTCCACGCGTTCTATGTGTGCTTGTGCTTTAAATGACTGAAGCAGTTCCCGTAACTCTCGGTTTGCTCCAATGAAATTTGTTGCGTTGTCTGAGACAATAACGCGACACTTTCCACGCCTAGCTATAAAACGCTTGAGTGTCGCGATGAAAGCGGCGGTCGTCAGGTCAGGAGCAATCTCCAAATGCACAGCCTTTGTAGTGAAGCAGATAAAAACTGCGATGTACACCTTAATTGGTGAACGGCCTCTAATTCTTTGAGTAACTGATAGGGGACCACAGTAGTCTACACCTGTAGTTTCAAACGGGTACGATGCTGTAACTCGGCTTGCAGGCAATGCACCCATGATCTGCCCTGTCACGACTGGACGAAGGTGGTAGCACATAATACATTTATGAATAACTTGCCTGATAATTGTTCGTGCGCCGATGACCCAGAACTTGTCTCGAAGAATGTTCAATAGTGTTTGAACACCAGCATGAAGATTTGTGCGATGTACATGCGTTACAAGGGTGCGTACGAAGGGATGGGAATGGGGAAGCACGATTGGATGTTTGGCGTTGAAGCTCAGGATCGAGTTTTTTACTCTTCCTCCAACTCGCATTAGTTGGTTATGCATAAACGGTGACAGCGAAGCAAGTTAAGAATTTTTATTTATGGGTTGGTTTTGGAGTTTAAAATATTCATTAGGGAAGTGTACTTGCTGAATTCTTCTGCATACTAGTTCAAGTGTGTCAGCTATTTCTTCGGCTGTGATAGAAGATCCACGCACCTTCGTGATGAAACGCTTTACATACGTGAAGATACGCAGAAATTTGTTATAGCTGTTTATGTACTTGTTTTCCGCAATAATATCTACTTCACGTTCGACGACTAATACCACTCGTTGCCTGCGAAAAAACTGGAGCTCCAACGAAGACAATAGCTACATATGTAAGTCAGCGATGCTAGCGACGACAACAACAACTGCAAAGATTTGATGTGTAATGAGTGCGTGCGATGAGGGGGTGTGAATGCAAATTCGATGATAGCGACGTTAACTGGAAATGCAGGTGCGGCGACGATGAATTAGTAAGGAGGGGCGTGAACAGTCATTATAAACAATTTATGAGATTGAAAACGAAAAACGTGGAGCGCATGCAATACAAAGCATAAGATTTAATTGACAATATTCAAACTACATACATAACACTGACCAAAAATTTCTACAGCGAAATTACAAATTTGAGATCGATTTTAAGCGGTCGTTATTAATATACCCACATACATACATATATTACTCTTCAATTTCAAATCAGGCCTATTACATACGCCCCACGCTTTTCATTTTCAACCTAATAAATTGTTTATAATGACTTTTGCTAAAATTTCAAAATCAACAGTTATCAAAACAAGTTCTATGGGACTGAGAAATATTATTTTCTAAATTTAGTACATTTATAAAAGCGTGGTACATTAAAAAGTTTTTTTTAAATTTATTTTATACTTTTTAGTCTTGTCTGTATAAAATTTTGCAGTGAAAAGAGAACAGAAGAATACATATAGCAGCAATTAATTTCATTTAAAGAAATGGCCAGTCTTTCATTTCCGCTGTAGCGTATGTAGTGCATATTTCTAACTTCTTCTGGGGAGGCGACATCTATCTCTAGAGTTTTTCTAATTGTATGTCTTTGATATGATACCTACGACGAGGTTGATATCTAGACTAGGTTTGCCATAAATACATTTGCTATATGTATAGTATGGTGGTCTGGACATACAACATTGCAAGTTGATAAAAGCGTTGTAATAAGAATTAATTCAATGTGAATTTTATACCAAATAAAACACCTCTTTGAGGTAAAATTTTCGAGTGACGAAAACTGAACTAGAAACACAAAATTTATGATATCAATTTCGTGACGAAAATTATACGCATTTTTTAACCGCCTTTGAAACGTGCGGAAAATCCTTTTATTTATTCATACGATTCGTTGCAAAAGTTCTGTTTTTTATTTTATGTTTCTAGCAGTACACGCAGTTTTGCAACGTTCCGAATAAATAAAAAAAAGGATTTTCCGCACGTTTCAAAGGCGGTTAAAAAATGCGTATAATTTTCGTCACGAAATTGATATCATAAATTTTGTGTCTCTAGTTCAGCTTTCGTCACTTGAAAATTTTACCTCAAAGAGGTGCCTTTGAATCGTGCGGAAAATCCTTTTATTTATTCATACGATTCGTTGCAAAAGTTCGGTTTTTTATTTTATGTTTCTAGCAGTAGAAGCAGTTTTGCAACGTTCCGAATAAATAAAAAAAAGGATTTTCCGCACGTTTCAAAGGCGGTTAAAAAATGCGTATAGTTTTCGTCACGAAATTGATATCATAAATTTTGTGTTTCTAGTTCAGCTTTCAGCACATGAAAATTTTACCTCAAAGATGTGTTTTATTTGATATCAATTATTTTGGGGTAGTACATTTAAAATCGACCTTAATACAAACAATAATCTAAATGTTTTATTTTTCTCAACTAAATGGCTAAAAATATTATCTAAATCTAAATTATGTATTCAAAACGATGTGTCCATTGAAACATATAATTTTCCGAATACGGAATAAAGCAAAAAAGGATATCCTCTGTATTCGAAAAAATTAAAATTAAAAGCAAATTATGAGTAATGATAAAATCTTATCAACTTGGTACCAACTTTGGATACAATAAACAACTGTATTCGTGTGATTGTCTCGTAGTATATTTTTGTTAAGATTTCTATCGGGTGTGTGGCGCACACAAGAAGTTGTACTTCTATCACGTGTACGATGTTACACTCGTGCTATTAAACTAATGCTTTTTTTTCAAGTAGTTTTGCTCAGTGCACGGTTAATTTTAAATTTTTTGGACTAAATACATATATGACCAAACTAAATTCAGTTTCAAATACAAACCTTCCAAGATTAAAAAAAGAGAGCACCTATGTTGGGTTTAGAATTTAAATAGTGCGGTTTAAATTTTTAACCCAAACATTTTCATAATTTAGAATATAAAAAAGGTCTTAAATTTCATGCTCCGTCTGATGGGGATTGAACCCGGACATCCTTGGTAGCAACCAATTGTATCAAGCATCTTTGCACACTCAACTACAGCCANGCATGTAAATGTGCTTTCATATGTTGAGTTTGAATCAAACCACATTTCGCTGTGTGCAAACATTTTCTATTTCGGGTTAGATTTTAAACAAAA